TTGTTCTACATTTGCCTATATCTCCATTCCTTTGTCAGTCCATCCTTTCGACTGTCCAATGTACTAATTTATTAATTGATACATTGACTTACTCCTTCCTTATTTTTTCTTTTCTTTCTTCCCTCCATCCACCCACCCACTATCTAACTAAAAATAACCAACAACTTTTATTTCAACACAGCTGTGACCAGTGAGCCCACTATGCTGGTGGTGGACGATGTTACGGACACCACAGTGACTGTAAAGTGGCGTCCTCCAGAAACCATTGGGGCAGCTGGGCTAGATGGATACTTAGTGGAGTACTGCATTGAAGGAAGTGAGTCAAATCTCAACAACATTGAGGTGAGGTCTATTAGATACAAAATATTTCTAGTTTATTATTACAACTTCACTATCTTTACCTACAGCCAATGACTGGGTGCTATCCAACAAAGAGGTGACTGAGAAAACCAAGTACACCATCACTGGACTAACTCCAGGATGTAAGATTTTAGTTAGAGTCAAAGCCATAAATAAAGCTGGAGCTAGTGCTCCACGCACTCTGCAGCACTCTGTCCTGGTCAAAGAAGTTGTTGGTGAGTTCTGAGAAGTCTGTAGTTTCTGTTCAACTGTAACAAATGAGCCAACCAAACACAATTGATTTAACAAGCATAACGTTCTCTGCAGAACCACCAAAGATCCGTGTCCCGCGACACCTGAAACAGACTTACACTCGCAAAGTTGGAGAAACAGTTAACCTTGTGGTGCCTTTCCAGGTAAACTTCTAACTCCTTTATCATAACCCTTCAGAGTGGTATGCTTTACTGAGGTTTCATATGCATGTACACAGGGAAAACCTCGGCCGAAGGTTACTTGGATCAAGGAAGGCAATCCTGTAGAACCTTCCCATGTTAGCATCCGCAACACAGACTGTGACAGCATCATTTTTATCCGTAAAGCAGACCGAAACCACTCTGGGAAGTATGAGATGACGGTACAGGTTGAGAATCATGTTGACACGGCAATTATTGACATACAGATTGTGGGTAAGTGACATTATGATAAGAAATAAACCTTATTTACTTCCATGGTAATGACAGCTATTAATTTAGGCTTCCTTTTTGATTTTAAGATCTACCAGGACCGCCTCAGTGTGTCACAATTGAAGACGTTTGGGGAGAAAATGTAGCTCTAGTGTGGACCCCTCCGAAGGACAGTGGAAATGCCCCAATAACAGGCTACACCATTCAGAAAGCAGACAAGAAAACAATGGTTGTGCAAAATATCAAGCCATAAATTCAAACTGTAAATGAAGCTTGATGTTTATGTAATATTTACACAGTATTTATTCTGTTTTACAGGAATGGTTCACATGCATTGAGCACTACCACCGGACCTGCATCACCATCACAGAACTGGTGGTTGGGAATGAATATTTCTTCAGGGTCTTCTCAGAAAATATGTGTGGCCTGAGCGAACTGGCCACCCAGACCAAAAAGAGCGCGCTCATCGTCAAAGAAGGTACCATGAAGAGTGGAATGCCATTTTCATTAATGCATACTTAGTGATATATAGTTGAATAAGATTAATTTACAAAAAAAATGCTTTTAGTGAATTTGAATATTAGTATTTACATACATGTTTATTTAATATATCCAATTAAATTTTTAAGATTTAATGTAAAGCTCTAATTTAGAACACTGAATAATTTTTTTTATATAAAATAAACCAATTAAAATCAAAATAACACATTTATTTATTAGCTACTAAGGTGAAACTTTAGAACAACATTGCTTTTGCACAAGTTAGTAAATGTAAGCTAAAATAAATGTCTTTAGTAGCATTTTTATTTTTGAGAAGTTAAACATTTATTTTAAAATTCAGAATTGTTTATTTTATTTTGCAGACTGAAATAAATAGCATTGAAAAATAAATGTAGCTCAAAAATGAAATAATATACTCTTAAAAGGTTTTTGTACTTTAAATTACACTTATTTTTATAATTTCAAAGTTTTGCTTACTTACACGGGATTTCAGATTGGAAATATCTCTAAAAGTGTTTACTTCATCTATGTTTTTCCTTTATAAGACAGTTTTCCTGACCTTTAATAAACATTTAGCAAACAAATCACCTTTATTTTAGATTTCTTATTTTATAAATTCAATTGTTTTCCTTTATTGAAGGACATGTATTTGATACAAAGAGGAGATGAGAAATAACTTTTGCCCACAAAAAGTAATTTATTTAATCATTTTTTATTTATGAAAAATTGTTTTATAATTTTCTTTAATTTCAATATTCCAGGTTCAGCTGTTGAGGTAAAACTGTGCTTATCTATTAAAATACAGTGTCTATGTTTCTGTCCTGGAGAAGTTGAAATGTTTCCCTGCCTTTATTACTGATTGGAGGGAAATGATGAAAGTTAACTCTTTACAGGAATGTTTTCCGTTTGCTGCCTATGCATTCTCCAAAGGTACTGTCAGTGATCTTTTCCACCCTCAAGTGAGTCTGATTAACACCCTCACTTCTGAATCTCACTGGGTTTTGGGTATGACTGACAGGCCCTTTAGTGGTGGTGTCTCAGTCTCAGCTGGTGATGAATAAAAAAATACATTGTCCTTCCCTCGTCACATAGGGAACTCCCCACATGATACCGCTCAGCGTCAGTATCATGCACAACCCCATTCCTTTACCCTTACCCCCACAGGCTTGCAGATGAAAATACCCGAGTACAGCGACCACGACTTCAAGGAGCCACCGAAGTTCACTCAACCGCTTATCAACACCTTTGCTGTTGCCGGCTATAACGCTACACTGAACTGCAGCGTCCGTGCCAACCCAAGGGTAGGTGGTGAAACAAGTAAAACATTTATATGCAATGATAGCACAAAAAGTGGAAGTCTACTTGTTTAACTTTTATTTTTACCTTTAAGTAATGTATTTTATATCCTGCATTTCATTTGTTCACAAGATAATTTACAACGTGAATAGCTCTAAAGTATTTTTTTTTTACCACACAGAGATCAAGATCTTTTACAAATTTGGAATGAAATAACAATTGCAACAGTTAAGCTTGTTGCATTTAGCTTCCATTAAGACTAACAAGTATTTCATTCAGGAACATTTCATAATCTAAGAGGATTTTTAGAAAAAAGTGGACCATTATGCTACATGAAAATGGCTGCAAAAACATGCGCAATTACACAACCATACATCTTTGAAAAGTAGAAGTGGAGCCTCCTGCACAACTAATGAATGCAGCAAGTGATTTCTGGATAGGAAGTCAATAACAAAACACTAGTCTTTTCCAACACTCATCGTACATCACAATTTAGCAGTCAAAAACCAGCTGACCAAAACGTGCTGGATGATGGGACAAAGCTCTGCTGGGGTTGCTAGGTGACGAGGCTGAGCTTTGCCTGGGTTGCTAGGTAACAGAGCAGTGCCTGCTGATTTGTGACGTTACATTCCAGAGGTTTTTGAAACTAATGAAACTTATTTTCCAGACACCAAAAGACTTCAAATTATTGCCAAAAAACATCTGGATGTTTTTCTAAAGGTTTGGGCTTTTCTTTAGAATTAGTAGAGACTCAAATGGAAGTATAAAAAAATGCCACGTGTTACTAGCATTTGGGATTATGGAAGCAGTGGGTATTGAGTTACAGTCAGGCACAACCAATAAGTACTTTTGATATTCCTGTTTCTTCCTGCAGCCAAAAGTGATCTGGATGAAGAATAAGATGACCATCTTCGAAGACCCACGCTACCGAATGTTTAGCAACCAAGGAGTCTGCACACTGGAGATCAGGAAGCCCAGTCCCTATGATGGCGGCATGTACACCTGTAAGGCCATCAACGACCTAGGGGAGGCCCAGGTGGAGTGCAAGCTGGAGGTCAAAGGTCAGTGTGGACCCGGAGGTGTGCATTAAAGTCTATGAGTCTGGTTTCCCATTTTTACCTCTTTACTTCCTTATTGTGAGTAAAAGAAAATTTGGGTATATATCGTAAAGATGTTTGCCTATTCATGCCAGTAACTGCTATTATGGCCATAATCGTTAGTCTGTAATAATTGTAAAGAGGCAAGGCATCTTTTTGGGAAACCAACTCCATCTAGATATCATAACGGTCTACCAAATGGACGGTACCAAGTGGAAACGTAAGTACCTGGACTGAGTCGCACCATTTGTTTAGAAATTCATTACTTTTTTGAGTTCAACTGTTTTTTTAGGACTAGTTTGTGGTAATTTAGAAACCTGGGTTACATTTTAATACTGAACAAACATGTTCAAGAAAAAGCATCTGAGTATAAGTTGAAAATATATAGGAAACAATATTTAGTCATGAAGTCCAGGACTATTGGAAAATTGCTTTTGCTTTTAATTGGAGCTGTGATTTTTAAGTTATGTCCTCATTTTTACCTTTGATTTCATTAAGAGTAGCTTTGTTAGTCCAAGTAAATGTCATAAATGGGTCAATTTGTATAAAACCTGTCTGTCCTGTCTTTCAATTTCATAAAACAACTGAAATTTATTTTTAAAACAATTTGAAAAGATGTAGTGGTTTGCCATCAAATTAAGTTTAATTTAAATTTGTTGCCAAGTATGCATTCCATAAGTCCAGATCAATTTTAGACAAAAGGACTTTCATACGTCCTGGTTAGCTGGACATAGGTAACAGCAGTCAGTCGGTGGGAGGTAGGGTACAAAGCTAAATCCTATTTTTTATTTAAACAAATATATATATATGTTCATACCTGGCCCAAAAAGCCCAAATTAGAGAATTCCAAGGCCAAATACTTCTTTTGAATGTTAGTCTTTACCTCAAATGGAAGAGTTCAAGTATCTTGTTTTGTTCAGATGTGACGGCAGAATGGAGTGGGCATCATCTGCATTAATGTTGGCACTACTTTGGTTTGTTGTGGTGAATTAAAAGATGAGCCAGAAATATAAGCCTGGCTCGTCTATAACCTTCACCTATGAAATGTTCTTATGAAAAAACTAAGAACATCCAATTCTGTTTACCTTTGTGTTAAATGTTTGTTTTTATTGTGAAAAAAGGGAGAGCAGCTGTAACACCATGAAGTCACTTTCAAAACTGAGTTAAACTAAATGGAGGAGAAATATATTTTGGCAATATCCATCGAATCGAGCAGAGTGGTTGGAAATCCAGGCTCTCTAACTCTCCATCTAAATCTAAACCACTGAGATGTTTCGGGCCATAAGTTTACATTCATAGAAATAATAAACATTTTATATTGGACACCTGTTTTTATTTTTTGCGGGACTGTGTGTAGTCGCTGCATGTCTTGGACCACTTCCTGGTTGATCTGCAACATTTCCAGTTTTCTGAAACTTGCAAATAAGTTTTGCCACAGTGTCGTGTGTGACGCTCGCTCCATGTTTTCTGTTAAAGTTTCGTGCAACCATGCGACTGCTTCCCGATCCAGCCATCAGTATAATTTCAGTTATTTGCTTTTCTGTCAAACGCATCTTCTTGGGTATCTGAAATATAAAAGAAATATACATTTTACATTTCCCAATGTATGGAAACCTATGGCTCAACCTGTATTTAAAATAGACAGATTTTTAATCTATTGTTTAAAATAACAGATCATTTGCAGATTGTCTAAATCTCAGCTTTAGATTAAATCCCAGGCCATGTTTGAATTCATAAACATTTGGTGCAACTTGGTTTTAATAATGATAATCCGTTAAAGTATGTGCAGTGTAAATAATATTTGGTGACACATCACCACCACACAATGTCATCCCTTATGTTTGTGTCTTTTTCCAAACCTGCCATTCTATTCATCACAGTTCACACACCAATGATGTTCTTGCATTTTATTAATTCACGTCTCCATCTTAAACTATTTTCCACAGATTCCAGTGTCTCCTTTGTTTTGTTAACTCTTCATATAAAGAGTTCAGTAATAACTCAGCTGTACTCCCTGGTGCACACATATAACTCCATGTAAACTTTGGTTAACCCCTCTTTTCTTCTTTTCCCCCCAGTCCCAACTCAAGAATTGTGAATGTGTGTTCTCATATAAAAGATAAGGTAAGCTTTCATATGGTTTCAGCATATGAAGCTTATTTCACTCATTGTGCACCTATTGGTCTGCCTGTGTAACCCTGGCTTTCTCGGCGAGAAGGACAACAGCAGCTAAAAGCAGAAACCAGTAAAGTCAGAGTCTGGCTTACCTAAATATTTCAATTTTGATTATATTTACTGAATTCTGCTTTGAAATTAGTTGAATGTTGTACTGTTTCTCATGTAAGCTGTGACAGAAACGAGGTGAGTACGCTGTTTATTCTAAGCGAGTTAAAATTGAAGACAATTGATGTTATAAATTGCTGAAAAAGTCTTGACTCATCTCTCATACGTTTTTGACTTGCTTCCAATGAGCCAGTTTGTGGGACTAACATGAAATTATCAAATTATGGAGCTAAATTGGGGCCATAACATTTGTTCAAAAGAAAAAAAATGTAACTGAAAAAATCTGATACTGAGAAAAAACTTGACTCTGAAAAGTAGTTTGCAACTTTTTTTCAATTTAATTTTTTTTTCTTTTGAACAAACTTTATTGCCCCAGTTTAGCTCCGTACAGAATATGGTATCTTGGTAAAATACTTGATTAAAGTCACTGAAAAGATCCAACTCCTTGGAAAAACATTATGATTGACAATTATGTCATTTAGTAATCTGGATTTTGCAGAATTGTGAACCTTGAATTGTGCATGGTTGTAAAAAAAAATCCTAGTTCCATGTTTTTCTGTATTGGTGTCCCATCGACAAACAACAATAGTGGAATGAAGTTTAAAACAATAAAATAAATACATTATAAAATAAATGCATTTTCTGAACATGCTAAAAGGTAAGACTTTGGGTATGGCATCACTTTTCTGGCTTTGTACTAAAACTAGATGAACATCTAAAACATGCAGGAATCTGCAGAGCCTAAATAATTCCCAGCTGTAGATCTGGGGGCAAAGTTTCAAGGTTTATGGATTTAAAGCAAAATTGTAGATAACCTGAACTACTTTTGATAAGTTGCAGCATTTTTCTGGTTCTATGCAGCATAAAGTAACATTGTCAGTTAGTTATATAAGGCAAATTAGATATAAAAGGAAAAATAAACATTGTCCAGAAGTTATTGGACAATTCTTTCCTCTGCCTACATTTCCCAGAATGCTGTGCGGTTCAGACTCAGAGTGCAGTGAATATTCCATGTATTGAATATTCTACCAGATGTATTATTTATTGCTACCGATCATTATGATATATTGATTTATTGTCCAGCCCTATGGTGTATGACATTACTAAAAAATAAATCAAATCTACCCCAAGGGTAACTCTTTATTTGAAGGAGTCTTTGTGAATGTTTAGGACAGTTGTCATGAAGTGTCATTTGGTAAATAATGACACTTTTAATGCATCGTTGACACCTTTAATTGACTTTTAATGTAACTTTGCATTAAAAGCGTCATTATTGATGAAATGACATGAACATTCATAAACATTCAGTCATAAACATTCATGAAGACTCTTTCATATTCATGACAGGCGTTATGTCATGTTATGACAGCGTCATGTCAAGTGTTACCCAACAGGGAAACAAAATATTTGATTACTAATTAAAAGTTCCCTGATTAACTTAAAATGTGAAGTTCAAATTTAAAAATGCATCAATTATATTTTTGCCAAAGGGGGAACGAGTAATTTTCTTAGAATTGCTCAAATTTAAAAACATCATCATAATTCTGTTGTTGTTCTTTAGGGGGATTTACCTTCTTCGAGCTCATGCAGCGTGGCGTACCCTTACACCTGATTGATAAATACATGAACGAGTCGAAGATCGTAGAGCAAGATAAATGAAACTAAAACCACTGCAAAAAGGAGCTTTAACTGTGCAAAACTCGTCTACCATCAGCGACCCTCGTCTCTCGCCTCTCTTTTTGGACCAGCACACTGACGGCAGATTGACGGGAACGGGATGAATGGATCGGTTCTGGTGGAGGGAGTTCTGGTCTGTGGTGTGGAATGCTGTGTGCATGTTTGAAGCTTGTTGTTGCCATAGAAACACAGTCATTTCATCTCCTTTCGCTCCCTGTTTTGTCTGAAATAATGTATCACCTCAGAACCTACTTTAGTGTTTAAGAACAAGAAAAAAAAATTTAATTATGGAATAATGAACAGCAACTCATGCCTGAGGTATTTTATGTGGGTTTTTCTTGGGTTTGGTCAGTGAATGTGTTATTTTTCTTTGGGGAGATCCATAGAAAAGAAACAGAAATGTTTAAATTATCGATGTTAATATGAATTTAAGAATGACTTCGGTAAAGTTGAAGAAAGAAACTTGATTTATTCTTTGACGTTTTTTGTTTTTTTTTTTTTTTCTTGTGAGGAAATGTAGAAGTTTACTCACATGCATGACACCTAAACCTTTGAGTTTATTTTGGACTGATCAAGGTTCAACCATATGTGCATGCCTTTTCCTTTGTAATTACGAACCGCAGCTATAATAAACCTTCCAATTGCATCTGTCTTTTCTTGTTATCCTATCTTCTTTTGAGTGGATTTAATGAGTTTTCACAATTTGGTTTTGGGGAAATATATTCCAAAATACATTAATGAGAAGTACATAAACTTTGTGTTGGTTTTGAGTTAGTGTTCAGGGTTCATATGTTTTATAAAAATGATGACCATGAATTCATATCTTTGTGTTTGATAGTTTTAATTATATTTTATCAACTTGTATTAGTGGCTTTTTAAGAAACGAGGCAAGTTAATCATGGTGGTGGAAACAAAAATGCTGTATCAGAAAACTAAATTTAACAAATTTAGATCCATCCATCCATCCATCCATCCATCCATCCATCCATCCATCCATCCATCCATCCATCCATCCAACCAACCACCCATCCATTTTCTGTACACCCTTGTCGGGAGGGTTCCTGCGCCAGCTATAAGTTTAGATAAACATGTTAACATGTTAAATGTTTGCATAAATGTTCTATTTGATTGGAGTAAATCTCAGTTTATATATATATATATATATTTTATTTCCCATCGTTTTCATCTTTGAAATAATAATTTCACTTTATTTTTCTTATATACATATTTACCTAATAGCTTAACTCTATATGATACATGTTTCACAGAAATCATTAGAAAGTAAATTACTTCAGATTTGTCTCATCAGTTTTATAATAAACTAATCTATTTTATGAAAATATGAAATACTTTTAATATTTTTAATTTATAGACATTTTTAATTCTTACATTTTCATTTTGTAGTCTTTCCTTTTTCTAACATACTGATGCATAGCGCACCATAACCATAAAAACTTTAATGTTATCATATTTTATTTAAATAAAATTCATGCTAAGCTTTTATATTTATTTTCTCAACACTTTTTTTATTATGACACATTCTGACACAATCTGCTATTTTTTAATCTATTTAACAAAAAGGTACAAATATAGGCTTTATTGGTACGACTATAAGCCTATAGTTTTACATAGTTGCAATATTACTTTAGTTGCCAGATTAAGTGTAATGATTAAATACTATATAGTGACCACAGTTCACCGGGATGCAGATTTAAATTTCCCGGTGCACAGTCATGTTATTGTTCCGCTTCCTGCAGACTTGTACCTCGGTCTGCAGCCTACAGACTATCGGCAGATTTTGGTTCCGCTGCAGAAATGGCCTCGACTGCACCGAGAGCAACAAAAGCCAAATGATCTGCTCTTGTTTTGGAGTCGGCAGAGAGAACAATTTAGCCATTTTGTAGGGCGCTGGCTTGGGGAAACCAGGGAGTTTGTTACGGTACTTAGAGGAGCGACGAGGCGGCCGGATAATGCCACATTGCCTGTGGCCAGAGCCGCTGTCACCCGCACAACTGAAGCGGCTGGAGGAGCATAAATACAGCGCTTCGGGTCGCTCCTTGTTCGAGCCTCCGTGCCAAGTCTACTGGAACTGGCTGGTCCTACAAATACCGACATGGGTCGCACCAAACACGCTGACTATTGTTGGACTCTTGATAAACATCCTGTCCACGGTGGTGCTGGTTTGGTACTGTCCTACGGCAACGGAAGAGGTGAGTAAATCGACCTTAGCTGAAGTTTTTCCACAAGGGCTCGAGCGCTGATTACGTTCGTACAGAACTGCATTTAAAAATAGCCCAAAATAAATAGTTCATGACAGCCTTTCACTCCATCTCTACTAAAAGATAAAAGTAAATACAGTGTCTTAATCAGAAACGTTTTCCTGTCAATTCGGCCTATATGTAAGTATAATATAATTTGATATGTGAAAACAATTTCCAATTAAATCAATACCGTAATAGCGAAAGCTAACGCAATCGATTGTCTATTTTTGGATTTTTTTTAAATAGGCGACTGCTTTTAAAAAGATAATATAAGCCGAATTAAAGACAATCACGCTTGTCTGTATCTGTTGTATTTATACAATATATAACGCTTTATTGGTATCACGCGGTGAGGATGATTTAAGTAGCTCCGTTTTGATTCGGCAGATTTGCGGAATAGATTAATGGTCGTACGTAGTTGGAAAGTTTACAGATTTTGACGTGTTGTTGTCTGTCCCCTCTCATGTGATGCAGGGCTGGGACAAAACCTCATTTAGGAACATAATCTTGTTTTAGGTCACCATTCCAGAAGACTGTTATCATTATAGCAATCCTGTTGTGAAAACAACTCTCCAAAGACAGTGCAGACATAAGAACCCTGATACATATACAGCTGAAATGCAGAACTAGACCTTTGCAGCTGACCTATGATCCAGTTGAGGTGGGTGCATAGCGTCACTTTACCACAGCCATAAGACATATGTTTGTGGTTTATCAGAGAAAAGCACCTTTGACCGATCCAAGCATGAGAAAGAACTGATGAAACAAAGTCCATACAACCTGCTGACAGTCAGACCTCAGTTAAAGTTCAGACATGTGCAAAAAGTTTTTAAACTTGTGTAATTTTTTTAAAGCAAGAAATTCTGACTTCAATATCAGAACTATTACTTTAATCTAACCTTTTTTTTTCTTTTTCTTTTTTAAATATGAGATTAAGGTGAGAATTGAGGCCTTTTTCTTACCTAAAAAGTAATAAATAGTTTTTTTAGAATTATAATCTTTATTGTTATCGCAATAGTACAGCAAAATATTGTGATAAAATTCAGAGTCCATATTACCCACCACTAACTGGAACCACTTTTATAGTCAAACCTGAACTGGGAGATTCTTTTGGTTCATATTGATCATCACTTTTGCCCTCTATATCACTTATCTTTCTCTCTAAGATGTATTTTTGTCAAACAATGTGATTTAACTTTTGTATGTTCAACAAAACCAGATTGTTCAGCTGTTAAATACTTGTTTAACAGCATTTCAGACGGTGTCTACTGCAAACATTTCTCTTTGCCTCATGTTTGCCATGCTAATGCAAACACTGCTTCAGGGCATGAATCCCTTAAGCAAAAGTAACTATGTCACTGCACGTCTACAAAGGCTGTGAAGGAGTGGAAGAAACATTTTCACACATTACGGATAGCAATTAGAGTCAAACCAATGGGCTTTGTTGAATGATAGTTTGCACCACTAAGCTCAAGTTCAAGTTCATTTTTGTTAAAGGTACACACAGACTGTTCATTTTCTGCTGCGCACAATTTCCTCACCCAGACTGAATTTGTCTATAATTATCATGACTTTAATGTAAATAGATGATTGCTCTTCAACATATTGTGAATTTATTCTATGTGTCAGGCTTACCCATCACAGACTGCTGGCACAAACACTGCTCTTGGTCAAGATGATTGGTCAGAAGTGAACTTCCTGTGCAGGTTAACCAATCAGATGTTGGAACCTGATACCAAGTCAGAGTTACACATCACATTATTTCACCATACAGGCACAATTAAATAACAATTACAATTGGATATGAGTCTAATCCTAGTTTCTAAAGAGACATCTGGAGTAATTTAAAATTTTTCTTAAAGCAAAATCAGTGAATATTCAGCCCCAAAAATATATTTTCGTTTTATTTTTATAGTCAACTTTCACATTTACGACGCAATACAAAATAAGATATAAACAAAGGTCTTTTAAAATAAAACAAAACCATTATTATTTATGTATTTCCACCATAAAAAGCTTTGGTGTTCATGCTGCGTTCAAGTTACTTGGAATTGGATTTGACATCAAAATTCTAGATAAAAAGTCAGAATTTCAACATGGTGACGCCCAAAATTATTGTGTGTAATATCTCTAACAAACATCATTTTAAGCTTTACTTTCGATAAACAAGCACCACTTTTAATCTAAGTTTAGAGTTGCAGGTGCAACATGTAACATTGGTTTTAGACCCACTTTTACTCGTGCGTCTTGTAAAATAAACTTGTTTCCACCACATTTTACGACTGTTGATGCGAAGAGCGGCCATATTGAAACGCAGATTTTCTTTCTTCTGCTCCGTGTCTCCAGGCTCCATCCTGGGCCTTCCTCCTGTCTGCTCTGGGTCTCTTCATTTATCAGTCTCTGGATGCGATTGATGGGAAACAGGCCAGGAGGACGAACAGCAGCTCTGCGCTTGGGGAACTGTTCGACCATGGCTGCGATGCCGTCTCCACAGGTCCTTCAGCCAAAATGTCCAATTTCTGCTCCATTTTATTCTTATTGTAAACTTTGACAAGCAGAGAAATGGGAAGAATTCACGTTGTATATTTGTGTTTTTATGATTTCAGTGTTTGTGGCAGTGGGAACCTGCATTTCATGCGGAATAGGAAGATACCCAAACTGGATTTTCTTCTGTGGCTTCATTGGGATGTTTATGTTTTTCTGTGCCCACTGGCAGACCTACGTATCCGGGACCCTCCGCTTTGGGCTGTAAGTCATGCATTCATACAAAATATCACTGAAATAATTATTAGCTAATTTAGTAATCGATTAATCGTTACTGGAGTATACAAACTTTTAAAAAAAAGCAATTTGATGCAAAAATAACTCGCTCAGAGCAGTAATTAAGCCAAAACGGCACAAAACATAAATATGTTTTGCATTTAAAATAAAAAAAAAAACATGTCTGTAAATATGTCTTATCAAAAACAGTTCAAATTCTGTAAATATTGATTTTAAGTCTAACAGAAAAGGCTGAGCTTTTTGCATGTTGAGGTTGGATTATTTGTTTCTTCCTTTGCTACAAATGATCGCTTAAAGAATGCTGTTACTACATTTAGTCAATAAAATGTTTATTTTCTTATTTAAAAAAGGAATTTAAGTATTTGTTGCATCTCCAGATGAATTTCTAATGTTGTATAAAAAGGATTACATGAAAAATCTGCAGAAAGTAATTTTTTTTTTTTAATCCAGTTAATTGTCAGAGTAATTTGAAACTAAAATAATCATTGGTTTCAGCTCTAAATGACAGCAGCAGGTAGACATTTTAGTCTGTCTGGCCTCATACATTGTTTTCCATCGACATTATGAGTAATTAAATTTATTCCTCTGTCTGCGCTTCAACATGCTTGAGTAATTGGAGCTTACCTGTTGCTAATAATACACTTATCAAATTAGGCAAACTTTAAAAACCTTTAGATTGCACACAAGCCTGTGCTCTGCAGAAATATAGCGGCCTGTCACAATAAACAATCTTGCTGGACGATAAATTCTCCCAGAAGTCATTTTAAAGCAATATAATGGTGGATAATGCAAGAAAACATTCTCAAAGATCAATAAACTTTAAATTCTAATGCACATTTAACACTGGAACTGGAAGACATTTCAAATAAATGAACAAAACAACAAATAAAATGAATTACGAAGTCTCTGTAAAGAAAACTGTTCTTCAAAAAAAGGGCAATTTGAAACCAAAAACACCAGACTGAAGAGAAAAAACGTAAATCATGAAAATGGAAATTATTGAGCTTGTTTCAATTTATTAATTGCTTAATTGCTTATTGCAACAGATCTAGAAATGTAGATTGGCAACTTTTCAGTTTGATTTAAAGTGGATATTATTGAAGCTTGTGGATAAAATTAAATGTCTACAACACAAAATCGTGTTGAGTTGAGAAAGATCAAATTGTGTGTGTAAACAATGACTTGAACTGCTCTTCTCTTCACAGCGTCGACGTCACAGAGGTGCAGATTGCCATCATCATCATGTACCTGATGTCTGGGTTCGGAGGCGTGGGCCTTTGGCAAAACGTGGTAACTGAGAACCTCGCTCTTCGTCCTCACGCATGCAACAACACTGTAGGCACACGGGAACGTTTCCGTGTCTCCAGAGTGAAGAACAGCTCATTATTTTCTAGTTTTAGTCGGTTTTCTAGCCTTTAAATAGAATTTGTGTTTTACTTTCACTCCGTGCTGCCTTTGGAGGCTTGACTTAACGTCATTGAGAGAAGTATGAAGGTAAATATGGGTAGGAAACGCCGTGCCAGCAGGTCATCTATTGGACATGATCTGGCTCAAAAAGCTGATGATGTCACCTGCATTTGTTTGTTTTTTGCTTTGCGCTGCCATCACGCTCAGCATGCTGCGGCTCGTATGTAAGGGAGCTTCTGGATGTCTAGCCATTTGATTAATCTGAGCCTTCTGTGTTTCTGTAGTTGCCTGTTTTAGGAATGCCGCTGTACGTTTTCCCCATCATGGGCATCATCGGAGGCGCCTTGTACTCCTGCTACAACTACTTCTATGTGATTCTGAATGGAGGCGTTGGGAAGAACGGCTCCACTGTGGCTGTAAGTGGCAGCTGCTGGTCGTAAATGAGGTGTTTTAGCACTGATGCTAACAATATTTATTCCTTTTCAGGACACCAGCGTCCTGACTCCTGGTCTGCACATCGGCCTTGTCCTCACGCTGGCCTTCATCATTTTTAAGAAGTCATCCAGCCATCTATTTGAGAACCATCCCTGTCTGTACCTGCTGACCTTCGGCATGGTCATCGCAAAGATCTCCAACAAGCTGGTGGTACGTTTGGTGTCTCCAAATCACCTCAAAAATTGCTAAAAGTGATTTTTTTGGGTGACATTTTATCGCATGTTTCTCATCTGCAGATGGCGCACATGACCAGGAGTGAGTTATATCTTCCAGACACAGCCTTCATCGGCCCTGGCCTCCTCTTCCTTAACCAGTACTTTAACAGCTTCATCGATGAACATATAGTCCTCTGGATCGCAATGGTAAGTATTAAAGTAAGGGACAATAGATATTTATTGCTTAAAGGATTATAGCTCTGAATCAGTTTTACAAATCTGAAATCAAGCCCACAGTTTTCTACAGTTTAGGTGTAAAAACAATAAAAGGAAAAATATTTGGATTTACCTATTTTATTCTGATTAAAGGTGATCTATTAAGCTTCCTTAAGCAAGTTAATATAAAGATGTTCATTTGTACAAAATGAGAATTTTACCTATTCAGAATGAGCTGTTTTAAACACTAATTTAAAATCTTAAATTTAGCTCAAGGACTGACTTTATTTAAACCTTAAATGTTGAGCACTTCTCTTAATGATTCAATATTAATATTCCAATACAAATCTTTAGACTTTGTATTGATATTTGAAACATCTATTAATTTACATGTTTTTTTTCTCTATTTTTTTTAGATATTTAAACTCATGTTTACGTTAGGTACAAAATCACATTTTTACCAGATGATAGTACAACAATATTTCTAAAAAATAAAAATAAGCAAACTTGTGTGTGTAAACTTACCTTCTTGCAGGAAAGTCCCAGGTGTTTATTGTAGCAAACACAAATCCAATCCTACTCAGACGTTCTTGCTATGGGACACAGCTAAGTTTTCCCTGCAAAAAACAAGCATCATATCTGAAGGATAAATCTGAAATTAAACAATTTCTCAATAATTTTTAGTAGTATTACTAATTACAAACTTGTATACAATGCAGTAACCAAATTTAAAAGTCATAATAATTACTGATTAAAATAATCAACACAATAAAACCCAAAGTACTTCAAGGAGATATCAATGAAACATTGCTACTTCAATATAGAATATAGTTTTAAATCTGACTTATTTTTTTTAAACTAGTTGTATTAATTAGCTGGTCTATTCTGAAATGAATAAAAAAAAATTATTTTAATTCCCAGGATACTAACTTTCAAGCTAAAAGTCAAGTTCATAGAATCCTACAATTAAAGTTAAGCTGAAATCTATTTGGCTACTCAATTGTGTTTCTTTGCAGAATATTGACAAAGTTTTGCACACATTTCTAATGAAAATGCAGCTGTTGAGCAAACGTGGTGACGGTGGGAAGAAACAACTTCCTTCAAACAGAAACAAAACTCCACCAGAATTAGCCGTTTATGTTCGGCCATTCGTTGTGAAAGGCTGAAAAAACGTTGTTTCGAGGATAATAGCTTTTCGAAGTTAAGCTATTAGCAACTAGACCTAATTTTTCTCTTTTCCATCTTCGTAGGTCCTTTCTCTGGTGGATCTGACACGGTACTGCACAGGCGTGTGCCTCCAGATCGCCTCACACCTGCGCATCCAGGTGTTTAGCATCACGCCGCAGCCCAACGCCCACCGTGACTGACGGGTTGCCCGGCGGGAGGAGGCGGGAGGAGACGCAGATCTCTCCCCGCTGCTGAAAGCAGACGACGACGAACTCAGCGAGGAAAGAGCCTTGACCCCGAGCCACTGCAGCCTTGACAAAGTAACCACCTCCGATTAAAAAAAACTGCCTCACTCAGAAAAAAGGAACAAGTGAACCAATCCAACACTGCAAACCAAAAAAAAAAAAAAACAGCTTGAAAAGCTGTCAGGGAATTAAATGGTTAAAGTTGAAATTAATCTAATTTAATTTAAAAATTGGTGCATGCCGTCATGAAAGTCATTGATTTTTGTTATCTCAACCAAAATACCAAATGTTGTTTATTATATTAAACCATTATTTGTTATTAATTTTAAATCACGACAGTTTATTTTTTAAATTCTCCATAGATTTGACACTAAAACCAAACATCAATGTGTTCTGAAACTAAATAGATTGCCCAATGAATTATTTTTCTAAATAACCCATTGTTTATTTATTCAGTGTTCCAGTGTGGAACAAATCAGGGCTTTAAAATTAAAACATTTTAATTCAAATCAAGACTCCAATGTGAAGTGGTGGGCTGTCAAAGGGCTCTGTGAAGGGGTAAGAGTCACGTGTTGATGCTGAAAACGACGACAGGACCTTTTTAGGTTATTCCACCAACATCACTCTAATTTAAAGAGAATTTACTCACCATTATGTTTAGTTATTAATAAAACATCCATACGCTGGTATTTGGAGTGCTGTCGACTCATGAAGCGTTAACACTCAACTCGTTGTGCTTTCTCATTTCTTCTCCCTAAAGGGCTAATACGTAATTATGTATGATTGTACAGAAATCAACTGAATACGCCTTAAATATTTTTGTTTGTAATTACTTTTTTGAGTGTTTAAAGCAGATTTGTATGTTTTTGTTTCTTTTCACTAAGGTTTGCCAGATACAGCAATAGTTACAATAGAACTGGAAGATTTTTTGGTTTTATTTTTAACTTTTCACCTAGATGAGTGAATTTCAGTTGTGTTACTTGGTAATGTGGTTATTAGTAATTGTATATTGACTGATTATCATGGAAATATTGTACTTTGACTCATAATTTAGGTGCACTGGGATCAGAAGGGATTTTTCCAGAGGCTGTAAAATGCCCTGGATTTTATTTTGGAACACTTTCATCTCATGTTGTGCTTTTGCACCATTATAAGCCCGACAGAGGAACGTGTATTAACACACTATTTTGCATCATTTTCAGATGAATGTTTGAACTATGCATTAACATGTAATTTGAGTCCAATCACCTCATTGTACTGTTCAGTAATACAGTCAAACATTTCTAATAACAGATGTGAGTGAAAAGATTGTAATAAAGATCATATTTTTCATCGTTTTCAGTGGCTTTGTTAATCTTGGGAAATTACTGCATTAAAGTGTTTGTACTCTGTTCAGATTTACAGCAATAGTAAAAGATCTGCACTGGGAAACCGGCCAATTTAAATTAACTTTATTATTTACCAATAATTATGCTGTAAAATTTCCAGATGGCTATGAAAAGTGTTTTCTGTGCAATTAGCGTAATGATAATTTTACCAAACATTAGCGGTATTAGTGTGGAAGTAACTTTGCCCCTATGAGGATATGTCATAAAAAAGCTTATTTCTGCAAAATTCTTATCTAGAAACATACACTCAGATAAAGGCATTTTACTTCAAAATCAAATTTAAAAAAATGCCCCAGAAGAAAAATCACGATGTCTGACCCAGTAAAAATTTATTTAAATGCGACAAACCACTGAAAATTCCCACTCCCAGATATGTTCTTTAGCATTTCGGCACACTGGATGGCACTGAATCGTCTCTCGCATAGTACAACTGATGCCGAGCAATATGAGACGATAATGAGACACTTAAACTTCCAGTACTTCTTTAAAACAAGTCCTGTACTTTTAAGACGTTAAAATTGGATTATTTAGTTACTAATAAAAGGACACACTTGCCATTTACTAAATAGACCATTCCAGTCAACCGTTACACGTTTTGCTTCGTACGGAAGTCTGGACTCTCCGTTATTTAGTTTGAAATTTTACCCAACCGCTAACGTTTTGCCCGACATGTAATGCGCCACTTCGGCGCTATGAAGCTTACCGGAAATCGCCTGCGCTGTAAACAACAAATGGGGATTAGTACCGCGCCGAACAAGATGGCTGTTGACACAGACTGAACGGCTTCGTACCGCCGCCATTGCTAGAGGAAGAAGAAAAAAATAAAAATAAAAAAAAAATCGATGACGTCATCGTTTAGAACTTCTCATTCTGTTCGCTGATTGGCCCAGCTGAAATTCTACCGGAAGAATCTAGGTCATTTTGAGGAAGCCTACACGGAGCTTTGAAGTGAATAGCCAGGGTATATGTTCCGAGTTAGTCGCTCTCATTTCTGTCAATATAATCCAGAAAATTGTTAAAACGGACAATCAGGAATTTGCAAAAATGACGAGCGATTTACAAATCATTACCAATGCATTGGTCGTTGTCACAATAAGTCAAAAATAAGTTAGAGAACATGCTGTGGTGGTCTGAATGTCAGACAGCAGCGAGTCTGCCGAGTCCCACAGGGACACACCTACGAGAGCCGTGAAGGCCTCGGAAATACCGCATATCATCAAACAATCGCATACAGTAATGATGGCAACCAGCATCTGACTCATTGATTCTGTAAACCCGGTCAGGTGTGGGTGACAAAAGAAAATGTTCAAATCCAACAGGAATAAACAACGAAGGCACTTCATGTTTTCCAAGACGGCAGAGTTAAACGGCCAAAACTTAAATACATTTACCCAAATCTTTACATCTTTAAAACAAACAAAAATACAAGGTTGTAAAAGCAACACTTTCTTTTAGACTCCCCAGTAAAGGCGACATTTTTAGATGTCTTTTAAACACAAAAACATATTTAACTTAAAAAAAAAAAAAATTCTAGGAGTTTGTACCGTTATAAAATACAGGTGCAATTTGAGCTTCCTATAATACAACTTGCTGGAAAATGTTTCATAATTTAACAGTACATTTGTCTGAGTCGATGCGACGGCAGGATCTGATGCAGGAGTGCTGAGTCTGTCTTCAATGCCCCCAGTGGAAGAAAATTCAACTTCTTGATTTAGTTTGGCTGCAGTATCTTCCCACATTCAGAAGAATGCTGCTCTCAGCAGTCCAGACTGTTGCGTCCACCCAGATTCCTTCCTGGTCTCTCGTTGGAGGAGGACAGAAGGCGTGGAGGACGACTTTCATGGAGGACAAGACAGTCTTCCTCTTTTACACTCGCTCTGGGTTGCTGTCTCTGGTTAGTCTGCGTCTGGGGAACAGTTTCCGCTTCAGCAGAATGAGCTGCAGGAGGAAGGAAGAAGGGTGAAAAAAATGTAAACTCTGCACAATTACAAAAATCAAAAATAATTAATGTGTTGACAGCACTTCTTTTCTGCAGCTCTGGTAAAAAAAAAAAGAAAGAAAAAGAAAAAAGAAAAGCAAGTTTCTTCGATTAATGTAATTACTTCATAAAAATGGCTAACGTGCCACTTTTTAATTATCATTAGTTTGGTCATATTTGATGCATCTTTTAAATGCAAATCAAACTGTTTAAAAGACATTTCAAGATTTTTAAAACTATTAAACAGAATGAAACATGTTTCACACAGAACATTTAAAACATTCAAGGGGCTGAGTACTTTTTATAGGCAGTGTGTTTCTACAGCAGGTGGGCATTAAATATGTTATCTGAAAAAGCAACAGACAGGAAAGAAGGAATGCAGGACCCCACAAACAAAAAAAGGAATGGACACATGGAAAGGAGGTAGGAAGGATAGAAGAAAAGAAGGTAGGATCCAAGAAATAGAGGATGGAAGGATGGAATGTAAAACTAGAATTGCAAAGAAAAGGAAAAACAGGAGGCGGCAATGAAGAACAATGTGTAAAGGTGCGAGTGTGTAAAGAAAAAAGTACACAACCAATGTAAAAATTAGCCGCGTTTTCATTACAAATGTGCACAAAATTTGTTACTATTCCGCGAATATCTACAAAACACAATTTTGCAATTGCTGTGTTCCGTTGCTGTGTTCACATGTGATTAAAATCACACGTGAATAAGTTTGTTCACAGGATAAGGCATTAAAACCATGCCACGCAATCATCCTCCAACCACTTCCTGTTGTCTTCTTCGTGGTTTCTGCCAGTAGTAACATCCAGTTGCTGATCACATGACACATGTGATGTGAAAAAAGTGCAAAACATATTAATTTTGGTTCAGGTACAAAAAGGTGTTGTTCTTTTTGTTTGTTTTAAATTTCCGTGTTTCCATAAAACCGTACAATTTTACGGTAAACAGAAAAGCAATTAGTGACAAGGAAAGTGAAAGAGTGGGACATCAGGAAGGAAAGAATAATATTTAGATAATGTTTAGATTAAATTAGGACATTTGAATATTTTTACAAATCTGAGAAATAACCAAACCAACTTGCAAACTTTTTCACAAATGCTGTAAAAACCTCGTTAGGTCCAGGGAAGCAGAGTAAAACAACTCTTTTGATCTTTCTTAAGTCTATGTCAAGAAAATCACCTGCTGCCTAAACGATTGACACATTCCTCAGTGGGAGCTCTGGTCCCAGTGAAGTGATAGGAGAGATTCTCCTCAGGTCAATTGCTAACCTTTCCTTGAGTGAGCAGAGAAGAAACTAAAAATCTTCCGATCAGGACAGAAGTGATGCCTGGGTAGAAAACGGTTTATCTAAATTTCCTTAATCAGGTTTCCTTCCCTAAATTTGAAAAGCGTGACGAGGAAACGGCTTTATCGTCACGTTCAACCAACAGATTCAACCATCTTGGCAACAAAGCACCCTAAAATAAATCACAGCGCAGTCTGATCCAGATCTACAAAGGCGGTCGGGTCTCGCCTTTCATACAGGATGTCTGGGGGTCTTTCATTTCTGTTAAGTCGGGTTCTGGCCCAGATGATCATTCCGACTTGACATATGAGCTCAGAGTTTAAATTTCTATTGAAGGCCTGAATCATAACACAAGCATGAATCATGGAAATAAGGATGTGCGGGAGCAAATGTCATCTATTTCTATTTAAATGTGAGGAGGTCCAAGGTGGGCACCAACCTGCTCGGCGAAGAAGGACATAATGGTGAAGACGACAAGAGTCACGAGGACGCAGTGGGTCCAGAACTTCAGCTTGTCCCGGTAAACCCGCCTGGAAAACAACGGGGTTAAGTCGTCAATAGGCCTGTCACGATAACAAATTTTGCCGAGTGATTGTCTAAAAAATTATTGCGATAAACGATAATATTGTTTCAAGACCTTTTGACACTGATTTAATGGAAATGACTAATAATGCATGTGATTTCCTGCTATATATAGATACACTTCATTTTCAAAAGAACACATAAACACTGGAACTGATAAACTAAACAAAACAACCGAAAACAAAAATAAAATGGATTCTCAGTCTCCATGAACAAAAAACGTACTTTAATAAAAACTAAACAACATAAAGCCAAAGTGGAAACAAATACTGCATTCAACCAAAAGAGTGCAGATTATGAAGTCTAAACTATATTGGCCTTCAGTAATCGCTAGATTTAAATAGAAAAGATGGGAACATCCGACCACCTAAAGTCCAGTTCACACTACACGATTGGTGAGTTCGTAACCGATCATCCTGTAGAGTGATGTAGATCGTCGTTCCCACTCCGATCTAAATCAGGGATTTCCCCTGACTGGAAGCATCAATGCAACCCGTTGAATGTCACAGGTAGCCAATCAGAAAGCGCAGATTCTCCTCCTGCTTTCTGAGGGGAAATAACGAAGGGGAATCCCAAACAGCTGACACAGCGCAACCCAAAATCCAGTGGACATTGGAGATGATATGTGGAAACATTAATATTTATTCAACATTTAGTGCAAAGAATATAGAAATGACAAGGAGAGGAGTTGGAGCCAAATTGCTACTGCAGTTGACGATAAAGCCGATAATTAAAATGAGGTCGATTGGTTTAATTTATCGTTCGATTAATTGATTTATCGTTTATCGCGACAGGCCTAGTCGTTAAAGCTTTTTGTTTGTTCCTGCATTAAACACAAACACCTCACTGAATAAACAGAGACAGAGAAAATGCATCTGTAACTTCAAAAAGGTTCACAGGGTCATTGGAAGAGAAGCAGACCCACATCATGCCGGATCCGCTACCATACTGGAGTGAGATGTGATATTTTTACATCAGATCCACCAGGAAGGTTTCTTGTCAGGAAACTTTCAGACTCAACTTTCTAAAGTTCTTAGGACCAGACATTTATTCTGGAATATAAAATGTTAATATCTGAAAGAAAGTTTGAAAGAAAAAAAAAAAAAGAAGGAATTTGAAAAAAAAAAAAGGGGGGAAGTTTGAAAGAAACGGGAAAGAAAGAAAAAGTTGGAAAGAATGAAAAGAAAATGTCTGAAAGAAAAACAAGACATCTACCTGATTTGAACCCTATGTTCTATTGTCTTCCCCCTTTTTGTACGTTGACTAAGAGAAACAGGCCTCTGTGTTGCATCATATTTATAACAAATGGAACCAAGAAGTCATGATTTACAAGATAAATGTTTCCAGGGTCTTCAATTCTAACTTTAACTTCTGCTAAGTTCTGCAGTGGAAATTAAGCAGCTGCAGCAACAAATGGTTACATTTGAGTGATTTTTTCCCCCCCACATATTTAAAAGCCGATATTTGTGCCGTCTGCTTCAGCTACCCATCTAAAGCTGCTCGGTCTAAATAAAGTCTCTATTCAGAGCTGCAGGCTCTGCCAACAGGAGCAGGGATCCCTGACAAGAAGCCTTAATGCCCCAGCGAGAGATTCCCATGCGTCCAACACGCAACCCTTGGTCAGAGTGATGACAGCCGTAAATTCTTCACTCAATATTCAGCTCATAGACAGTAAGGACGCTAATGATTCATAAATCAACTCTTAGAGACGAAAGCCACAAGATACATCACTTAGCAACCACAAGTGCAACAAACACACTCTGATGACTTCCATCTACTTTGGTGATTGAGCATTTTTCCAACACTGAATGCACACTTTACCAGTGACCGTTTTCACAAAGCTTTTTTTAAAGTACCTAATACACATTTTTACTTTGCTAATTTCCCAGTACCAATTGCACATTTTTCTACTGCCAATTACCCATTTTTGCAGGCCCATTTTTCCAGTGTCGATTGCACATTTTTCCCAGGGGACTAAATCTCCCACTTAAAGGGAAAAGTTATGTTTTTTTTGTGCAACTAGCTGCAGAAATTTCATTTTTATTGAAAAGAAAGCAAGAGGAACATATTTTTTTAGATTTAAAAAAGTCTGATGAACTATTAACTGCTCATTTGTTTTGTGCAAACACTTCTCAGTTGTTCCCAGTTTGATAACCTACCAGTCCTGGAGCTCTTCCATATGCAGGAACCTGTTGCGGTATTCTCTGGGAAGCTCGAACTGGGACGGCAGTGGGAACATGGACTCGTAGAAATCTCTCAGCACGGCCTTCACAGTGGGAGCGTCCTTGTGGCTGTGGTCGATGTTATCATTCAGACAGATGAACTTCCTGTCGGTGACAAATGGAGGTCACATTAACCGGCTTTCCACACGTTCCAGACTTTTCTAAACTCAAATTTTTCGATTTGTTTCTTGCATTTTTTGCAACATATTCTGAGCATCTGAGTGTATGAAAATGCTCGACAATGACCTAACCTACAAGCCCCATATAAGGTATGGACTTTCCTTGACTTTAAAGCATATTTTTCATTTTTTTTAGCATGTGCAGATAAGCAGGAATTTTGCTATTTTTGCTATTTAATAAGCATTTGAGCAATTTGTCGATCCAATGCAACGAGTTACAAAAGCTGTACTGGATTGTAGCTACAAGCTCTTAGTATATTTAGTAAAAATATACTAAATATGGATGACCTACATTTATATTTGTAAAATATTTTGAAAACCAAACCGGATTTTCCTCCTGCTTCCTACTTATACTTAACCAGAGTTTCTGCAGGTTTCACCAACTCAAATTTAAGACTTTAGACCTTTTTTAAAACCAGTATGAATGAAATTTAACACTTATACCACAACTGTGAGATTTCTAGGATCTTCTTGTGGCTCTTTGCAGCAGATTTGTTCTTCTCACACTGCATAGTGGTGGCCTACTGGTGAAAAATTTGCACTTACCCCTGATGGAAGCAAAAAAAAGCTAGCTAGCTAGCAAGGTATATTAGCAGCTAGTTAGCGGTAGCCTCAAGCGCCTCGACTCGGAACGCAATGAAGATATCTGCGTCTGACTCAAACTTTTGCCAGACAGAAAAGTCTTATAAGAGAAGAAAATCTACATAAAAGACACAACATTAATCTTGCCTGTGATTAATATTTTTAAGGAGAATTTAGATATTTTATGATAAATTTAAGACTTTTTAAGGCTTTGTGGACATCCTGTTAATGTTGCATTAAACACACATAAAATCAATTGCTGTGGAAAATCCTTCTCACCTGGGATTCTTCCTGATGTCGTCCAACTGGCCGACCACATGGGACACGTTGGTCCGCACCATCTTGAAAGCAATCTCTTCCTCTCCCATTATCTCAAACCTGTCAAAGAAGCCAATCCATCTCAGCATTTAAAAAAGATAAACATTTAAGGAAGCGATGAATATAGAATCTGTGACCTCACTTGTATTTGTTCTGATCTTTGAAAGCTTTATGAATCTTCTCTGTGATGGGTTTGCAGTGAAGGACCAGGCCTTTAGTGACGGGAGGCTGGAAATAATAAAATAATTAGGTATTGCAATAAAATGTAAACAAAAATGTCAAATTCATTAATTGCTCACCATGTTGGGATCATAATAGGCTTCCTGCATGGGGCTCACCAGGTGCAGATGGGTCAGGTTAGTTGGGAGGGTTTTAGAGCAGTTTATCAGCATCTGCTCTAAACCCGTCAGATCCTACATTCAACATTTAGAGTAAAAACATCAAAACCCGACATGGCTTCTCCAGGAAAACAAGCATCAGATTCTCAGACTGACCTGGAGGCTGAGGGGAAGCTCGTGGATCCTGGTAGCGAGAGTTCGGATCTCTCTGTCCGACAGAACGCCGGAGTGGTCGGTGTCGACTTCGTCAAACACGTCTGAGACGTTCAGCTGCTGCTGGGCACTCATCAGGAAGTAAAAGTAGGAAAAGGCGAACTGCATGTCCTCAGAGTGACGAACGCGGTGCGCCGAGGTTTTGTCGAACTCTTCGGGAAATCTGAAGAAAGCAGTTCAGTTCAATTAAAGAAGTCACCCTTCAAGAAACAAACTGTTACAGGAAAAATGAAGCTATTGCTAAAAACTGCAATGTCACTATTTTAACTACAGATGGAGAAAAATAGTACCGCTTATTGTTTATCATGTTAAGTTTCTTACCATGGTAAGAATTTTGGTTTATTGTTGTCATGATGAATTCCAATTAATGTCTTTTTTAAACTGTCCTTATTGTCAGGATTTTCTGTTTTACTATTTTTGTCACTGTTCCGTTAAAGAATCAATAAATATCATTAAATTTAAAAAATATGGTTAAATGCAGTTACAATTTGCAGTTTAATTATATAAATCGCATTTCATTATATGATTAATGTCCTAAAGAAACAAACAGGAATGTTTTTCAAGAGCTGCATTTGTGTTTGTGGGGCTGTTATTGCTGTGACACACAGTCATGTGTAACCTGCACAAAATAAGAAACCCGTATTTTATTTTGGCGGGTCAAACTGACAGCACCCTTTAAGTTCCGGGTCACAGGTGACTCGGATTTCAATCGCTGTTGCTGCTGTCGCTGTGGCCAGCTGCTCGTCTCGGCGTCTTCTAAACGTATAGAAGAATACGGCTGGATCGAGGCTTACTAAAAGGGCCGAAGGATTAAATTGGGTGTTTCCTGCCGACCGCTCGACGGTCAGGTTTTTTTCCCCACCCCCTGTGTCACTTCAGGATGGCGAGCTACCGGATCACCGCAGCTTCGCGGTAGGATTTAAATGAACCAAGCTGTTTTCTCATTCTGGACCTATTTGCTCTGGATCATGGACAAAAAGGGACAAAAAAAAGCAATTAAATATTGACTGATGGACTATTGATCATTTGGATTCATGAATGGACCAAAATAGAAACTCTTAGGTGACATCAGGGTTTATTGTTTTTTTGTTGCTGAGTGCTTGTTTTGTCCTTTTTGTGTTTTTGGTTATATTATAGAAAATCACTGTTATTATAAATATTATTATTATTGCATATCTTCATATATATATATGAAAGAAAAAAAACAAGTTGAATACAATAACTTAAACATACTTTTGTCTAATGGTATTTTATTCACACCCACGGGCTCCATAACCGAATCTATTTGAGTGCCATTTGTTATATTTGGCCGTAGTCAGGCGCCTAGCCTTAGCAATACAGTAACCTAAGAAAGAAGAAGTAAATTGTCCCTTACGTGTCCTGGAGCTCCTGCATGACGAGACGGTCGATCATGTGCGGCATGTGAGCAGGGACTTTGCGCGACGTGAAGCCGAACTGGCCGTTGAGCAGCTTGTTGACGTAGCGCAGCGAGTCGGCGAAGGTGTCCTGCAGCTTTCGCCTGGTCGCTCCGCTGTCCGTCCTGTAGGATAACTCGCTCTGAAGACGCTCCTCCTCCTGAGAAAGTCGACATACTTTGGAATTAAATAGTTTCCTTCTGAGTAAAATCCTAAATATTTTTAGGACAGGGGGCAAACAATTAACCAAGTTGTTGGTTAATAATTTATTATATTAAAATGTGTTCCAATCGATTAATCAAAGATGTTCATTTAGACATTCTTTTAGTAACGTAGTTTGGCCAGCATCCAGCAGAAGCGCTGGTGATCAAGTCAGTTGTAAGAAAAACAAACATGGCAGACCCATACCAGAATGGGAAAGAGAAAAGGTTCAAACAAAATCTGGTGTGGGATGTAAAGGACACTTTATAATGTTCTGTTGTGTCCAAAGGAGTATTAGGACCATTGTGGATTTTTAAAAAAAGAGATAAATTTCTGCCAAAACACTGAAAAATGTTGAGATTGATCTCAAAGGTCAGACTCAGAAATTTCAGTATTTTTTCTACAATATTTCACAAATATTGTAATGTAATTTTATTTTTAAATTCAACATATAATGAAAAATGTTATGGAAAGACTGTCAGCCCTTTTGATACAAAAAATAAAATTTTTAAGAAAATTGCCAAAGATCAATTAACTATAGATTTACTCATGAATCAATAACTTGCATCCCTAATTTGGGGTCTGCTTACCTCAAGCAAGGCCTGGAAGTATTTCCTCCTCTCCCACGGCAGAAAGCCTCGATCTGAGGAGACAAAGTGCTGCAGCTTCCTCCCGACTGCAGGCGGCTCCCCTCGAATCTCCTCACTCTTTTGGGAAACGTTGCTGTGAAGTTTCGACGTCTTGGGCTTCTCAATTACAGGATTCAAAGGAAAACGTTCAGGACTTAAAAGACTTTTTATTTTACTATCGATGTGGACCGGCATGAGAGGAGGGGTAGGTTTAGACTCCTTTGGCATTTTCTGATCAGAGTTTTGATTATTCTTCATCTGATTGTCTTCCTCCAGGCCTTTGGAGGCCTTATCCTGGACTCCGCCTGGCTGTACGTTGATGTCAGCCAGACTATGATACGGCTTTAGAAGCTCAGCCTTGGTGAGGTTGTATCCCTTCACCGTAATGTCACCATTTAAAAGTTTCTCCTCCAATGTTTCCAGCTCGTTCCTCACAACAAGTGGTAAAACCGAGACATTTACCAAAGGAACCTGTATAAGAGCCTGAGATTCAGCAGGATGGTTCTTCTGGATCTTCGGCCCTCGTTTTTCCTCGGGAATATCCGAAAACGGGAAAACTGGCTCGGCTGTCGGGGTGAGCTTAGACTCCTCTCCTGCCTCTTTGCTCCCGCCCCGAGTGGCGTTAGTCTGAGGAACCTCCCGCGTGTCGACTGCGACGCTGAAGATCATGGTGAACAGAGTGTCACCCTCTGTCTGGAAGGTGACGTTGTACTGGACCTGGGTGGCGTTTTGCCCCGGGTACAGCAGCAGGTGAATGCTCTTCCACTTGTTGGCGACGGACGTGTGTCGGACCACGGGGTTGTCCTTGACGTGGGCCTCGGAGACTCGGCGAGCCAGCTTGTCGAAGCTGAAATACGGCCTGGTCTCGCCCAGAGGGAGAGTGTAGAGGCTCTGGTTTCTGAGCAGAGTCACACGGTGCAGCTCGCCAAAGTGCTCTGAAAAGACCAACATCGTTTCATTTTTTTTGCTTAAAGGGAGAAGTGATCACAAAAACAAAACAAGTTCAATTCAAAAATACTTTATTGATCCCAAAGGGAAATTAAATGTTGTTGTAACTCATTAATTCAAAATTTTTCAGAGAGTTATTGTAAATGGTGATGGCTGTGAGCAGGAAAGATCTCCTGTAGCAGTCTGTGTTACAGCGAATTTGATGAACCCTCCAACTAAAGAGGCTGTTTGGGGTTTTCCATCATTATCTCTAGATGTTCCACAAAACCAGACTATGATGTTTAATAATATTAATAATAATAAGAAGAAAAAACAGCCTCAGACTACTGCACACAAAAAAAATCTTCATAAAGGAAAAAATTGGATAATTAAACAATTGTTTGCAATTTGTAGTCTATAGTGGTTCAATAAAGTAAGTTGATAAGTTTAATAGAGAAAGCATAACAGAGCCAAAAATGTAGTATACAGTTAAGCTACGCTAAGCTAAATAGGCTAATTGTGTGACTAGAAAGACAATGAATAGTTTTCACATGCTAAACAGATCAGTGTGTTTTGTTTGGTTAAATAAATAGTTTTGTTATTCATGTTTTGGCCCTCCTGATGGGTGCCTGCATAAAACCACGGATACTACACTGAAACGATGAATTACCTTTACACTGAAGCACAGTTTAGACTTAGCATTTCTAAACTAACGTTAAAAACAAAATTACTTCTTTAGACCTTGGAAAATTGAGATTCTGAAACATTTTTGTGCATATTTACATGTAAGTGTACAAAGTTAAGCATAGTGATTAATCACAGCACTAGGTGATGATTATCTGATAATTTTTTTTAATCGATTGTAAACATACCGTGGCCGCAGTCGCCCACATCAAACCCACAGGAGAGAACGTTGCAGGCCTGATCGCAGAACTTGTCTGCCAGCCACGAGTTGGCGCAGCCTTGATTGCAGTACGACGTCCCTCCAATTCCTCCAAAACCGCCGATCTGCCACACCGGTCCACCTGCTCCTCCGGGCCCGACGCCACCGGCCCCTGCAGGAAACCGGTTGTTTCCTGCTATTCCTGTCGGAGACAATTAAACATAAGTTAAACATCAAACCAGCTTATTAACACATAAATAACAGAGAGCGCATCCCCACCGAGACAGTCTCCTCCATCCCAGTCGCAGGCCGAGTTGTTGCAGGCCTTGTCACAGTATCCATCTTTAATCCAGGATCCTGGGCAGCCCTCAGCACAGTTAGGAACCGGCCAGGTGAGGTACACCTGATTGAAGGAGTGAAGTTGAGATTTGAGGCATTAAACCAAACATTTTTGTGTTTCTCCTGTTGCTCTCCACACCTTCTGTCCTTTGGAGTGGCTGTAGAAGTCGTCCGGCCAAACGTCTTTGCCAAACATCACATCGTCATTGAGGTAAATAAACTTCTGGGAGAGTCCTGGGATACGGTGGATGTGCGTCTCGATGGCAGGAGAGCTGAAAGTTGGAAGGTGGGAGCGGTTCAGGAAAATATCCTGAAATTAAGAATCATAAGGAAGCAAGTTATACGATATTTCTCATATGGAGGGTTGACAGTCTTTCTATAACATGAAGGGTTACATTTTTCATAATATGCTGAATTAAAAAAAACTTAATTAAAATGTAACATTATTTTGTGAGGTCATCTACGTTAAATACTTATAATAAACTTAAGCTTATTTATACAACATAATAAAACAGGGACCTCTAAAGTTATTAAGGAGAAAAACAAAAGACGAAAGAGTAAATATGTGAAACGTTTAATTCCTCATGAAGAAAGATATATTCATACAGAAGTTGTTACTCTTGAAGGGATGTTTAAACTTTACTAGATTAAATAACAATAATCATGTTTGTTTTTATCACGTTACAATTCAGGGGCGTGCAGAGACCACTAAAGGGGCAGGTGCT